GTGATTGGCTAATGGTTACACAAGCCAACACATCGTTATGACATCATAAAGTGGCCACAATCTGATCAGCTAATTTTCAGACAGGTTTTTATATAAATGGATCAGGACAAAAAGAGAGAGAATCTTTTTGCCTGAAACGTTCAGAATCTCTTTACACAGAGGGGACACATGTTTATGTATAAAAGACATGAAAAATAGGATTTTGCATAATAGGTGACCTTTAAGGTATTTATTTGCCTTTGCGTTGCTTCCTCAGTTCCTGTCGGAGGTTGATGCCTGGTGTAAAGTGTGCAGTGAGGGGGGGTTACCGACCGAAATGCAGGAGCTGGAAATCGCCATCCATCGCCACCAGAGTCTGTACGAGCAGGTGTCCCAGGCGTACACCGAGGTAAACCTGCAACACAGCTGACAACACAACCTCAGCCCTATTCACACGGGCCATGTGTAAGCAGGGGATCTAAGGTCGTTTAGAAAAAAACAAACACCCCACAGTTATATTTGCTGCAGCTACAAACACAAACAAACACATCTGAAGAAAATTGGTAAGAACAAGTTATAAGATCATGTTCTCTGCTCTGTAAATACAAACATCTTTGATGACTTAAAAGCAGTGTTTGCTGGAGCTGCTCTTTGCTCTATTGCTTTGAGTAAGAAATAAAGCAGTGCCTGTGTTCTCTGCAAAGCATTGGTTGTGTGTGTATCACCAGTTTAATACAAACTCCCTAATGCAATTTAATGATCTACCTCCTGATCAAAGCTATAGCATGCATTGGACCTTGATTTTGAATTATCTTCAGAACTAACCAAAAATACTTTAAAGCTTGTTTTCATTTTTAAGAGTAAGATATCTTAATGTTTACCAGCGTAAAAAAAAACTCTGGAAAAGTTCCTTCTCTATTAAAGCTGTTAAACAATGATTTAGATGTACGACATATTTCTTAAAATGCAAACAACGATTGACAAACAGGATGTTACAGCCAGTCCTCAGCAACAAAACAAAAACCTGGAAATTACATTATTGTTTGGTTTTTAATGATCTTCACTTAAGAAATAACAATGAAACTTTATTTGAACGTCGATTTCAAGAACAATGCAATTCAAAGTGATTTACACAGGACATGAAAGCATTACGACAAGATATAAAAGAAACTGCAATGTTAAAAGACACACATATCTTATGCAGAAAAGGAAACAGTGCTTGTTGGACGCAGTGGTTCCAGTTGTGGGTTTGCATTTATCATTGAGCAATTAGCAGTAAGAAGAGAAATGCTGATTCAGAAAGTGTATATGTATGTGAAGAGAGAAGATACAAACCTGATTCCAGTAAAAATAAGTTTAACTTTTTGCAAATCTCTACCTTTTTCCCATCTTAATCCACCTGTTCTATCTGTATGTTAATATGTCTAATCTCCTTTCTAACCTACCTGGCTGTTTGCAGGTGAGTCAGGATGGTAAAGCCCTATTGGACGTCCTCCAGAGGCCTTTGAGTCCCGGCAACTCTGAATCGCTGACAGCCACTGCCAATTACTCCAAAGCGGTCAGTATCATTTATTTTGGGGTTTCTTCTGATACTGACAAAAGAGGGGCAGCTTTAAGCAGTTTATATTAAATTAAAAGCACATTAAATGAAAGACTGTGTTACGTTTGTATGATTCCGCAGGTTCACTGCATCCTGGACGTGGTTCACGAGATTCTCCACCATCAGCGGCGTCTCGAGAATATTTGGCAGCATCGAAAGGTCCGACTGCACCAGAGACTGCAGCTGTGTGTGTTCCAGCAAGACGTCCAGCAGGTACACACACAAACACTCACACACAGCGCACACAGCACAAGCCAGAGGAATAAAAACATGAGGAGTGTGTTAGTGGGAGAGAAGAGGGAATATCTTGTTGCTTTTGGATGTAAACGTTGGTTTCTCCAAAGTGACAGCTTTATAGGAACATCGAAAAACAATATTTATTCATACAATACAAGTTAATATTGAACTTTTGAGTTCAATGTAAGGGGTTTGAAAGAGGTTAACTCAACAAGGAGGTTGGAGAATTTAGTGGAAGTGGCGCATGTCATCATGTTTTTAAGCATGTGATCTAGTAAAAAGACGTGTGTGTCTTTGTGTGTCTGTGATCAACTTTGCTGAGCAGAACCGATGAGAATCACCACAACACGTTCATTCATCTCTGCTGTCCTCTTGCCCCGGCCTAACCGTGTGTAATGTGAAAATTCCTGAGATAAAATACTTGCTGGTAACACTGCTCATATTTCACAGACGGGCAGATGGGTTTTTGTTTTTTAAAAGTGTCAGCACAGATTCCTGGAGATTTTATAGATATTAGTTTGCTCAAGATGATTTATGAAGGGTAGTTTTAACGAGCAAACTGGATGCCATCAGTGGGGGAGGAGGAAGTCTTGTTTATTACATTTAGTTCTTTAATGTGATTGTGGGTTTGACAGTAATGCAGTAGGAATGAGGTACAACAAAATAATACCACTGGCATTACTGCAACCTCTGCAATCTCAGTAAAGAGTCCACATGTGCGCTCTCTAGAGACTGTTTCCTCCGAAATTATGAACATAAAGTACAGTAACAAGGACACAGAGTGTATCTAATGCAAAACAGCTGAAACTAAGCCTGTACGCAATATCATCTGCAGAGATTCAGCCACTTAGGTTTGAACACCATAGACATAGAACAAATTTACTAGGAAGTAGGATCTTAAGACGTGTGTGTGTATATTTGCCATTGCAATGATTGCAACTGGCTAACTTCTTTATTATTCCAAAAAACTTGGCACATCGCAAACTCATTTAAGTGAGGTTTTGCTGTAACGACTACATTGAGCAATGGGTATTATTTAACATTGTATTTTTGTATCCGAAGACTTGTTGATACAGTGTGGAAAAAGCACCTTGATATTGGCAAATATTTGACCCCTTTGTTTGGCTAATTTTCTGTAGGCTAACCAGTCTAAAGCGTGGTTGACTTGCCATGCAGCAATGTAGCTAACTAGCTAGCTGTAAGATAGTAAGCTAGCTATCCTGCTAGTTTGCTAATTCCAATATGCTCTAAGCCAGGGGTTCCCAACCTTTATTGTGCCAAGGACCGGCAGATACATTAAAAAAGATGTGCGGACCGGTTGTCAATTTTAACGGATTTGAATATTTACTCACCAGCAGGTGGCAACAGAGGCTAATTGTATTTAACAGCCTGAAGAAATACCAATATGCATCCAAAACATATTAACAACGTTTAAAGCCAGGATACAATTAAAGCAAAAAATTAGGACCGCTTTACAAATATTAATATAATATATAATATAATGTAGCCTAATATAGGTGGCAACAGTGGCTAATTGTATGTAACAGCCTGAACAAATAATAGAACAATATGCATCCAAAACATATTAACACAGTTTAAAACCAGGATACAATTAAAACAAATTAGGACCACTGTACACATATTGATATAACTGAAATGTCAGTGAGACCCCTGGGCTTGTTTGCCAGCAATAATAACGTCATACCGGGGCGTTCGTTCCGGTGCACTCCGACAGCATTTAGCACTACATCGAGATTAAGATTAAACTAATTTATTTTGGGAACACCCACATACCTATGGAGTTGGCCAGATGTGTGTAAATTACTGTTCATGGTAATTTGAAAACAAATGCCGTTGTTGGACACACACAAACACACCGAACATACACACACACAGCGGAGCTGAGCAGAGCACATACACACACACATCATGCGCCTTTGTGACCGGACATTTCCTTCATACAACGAGTAATAGGGGGAATAATCGGGCCGTTCGATGTGTGTGTGTGTAGAGGTGTGTGTGGTTGAAACGTAGCAGCCTGCAGTGGGGAACACAGTGAAGGCGGTGTGTACGCGCTGGTGCTGCACTTCTCAGAGGCTGCCTCCTGATGCTGTAGCCATTTCATGAAGTGAAGGAGGCTTTACAAATAAAAAATGGCTCTGCACCCCTGGCCGCAATGTCCTTAAAATAAAGTCAGAGTTCGAAATATATCTCAAATAATGTATGCACTGCCATTTCCCCAGAAACATAACAGTCTGCGATTAAACGGTTGTCTCCTGTGTGCTCCACTTCCTATTGGCTCACCACCTGTAACTTTCTCTGCGCACGAGAGGCTGAGACCTTATGCTAACCAATTTTGATTTATTTTGTATGTTTTGGATGAAATAATATGACTGGTATAAAATAAAATAAAATAAATTATTGAATGTTTTTTGATATTTTTTTTTAATATATTTATAATTCTGCAAATATTACGATAAACTCACAGCTATTTCGCGGCCCGGGGGGTTGGGGACCCCTGCTCTAAGCTACACCCGAAAGCGAGCGAAACTACAAGCTGGTGGCCAGTAGGAGTGCTGGGTCTAACAGTATCTCAGTCTAACTCCCTTGAGGGTCTCTAGGAAGAGAGAATTAGAGCATAAGACGGTCTACTAAATCCAAAGATGGACGTGCACCATGCTACATTTATATGTGACCCAAGAGAGAGTGTGAGAAAGTGTTACAGAGAGGTAAAAGACAAAGAAAGAAGAAAGAAAATGGTGCTTGAAGCAGAGATCGTATCAGTAGGTTATAAATTCATTGAAAACAGAGTTTTGCCAACTGTACTGGTCATGCATCAGTTTCTATGAGACTCCAGGGAGAGACAAAGAGACACACACAGAGGGCGAGGGACGTACGTGGGAAGTGAAACAAGGAGCAAGTGAGAGAGTAAGCTCATAGCAATAGACTATAAATCACTGAGAACAGGGCTTCTCCAACCAGAGCTGTAATGCTACAGGATATATGTGACCCCAGAGAGGAAGAAGAGGCAGAGATGCTGAAGTTAAGGCTGAAAGAGAACATATATGATGTGAAGTTTTATTTGGCAGATTTAGCCTCACATTCAAACAAAGATAGAAGGTAATAGGACTTTGTATGTGCTCTGAACTTTCTCTGAACTCTTTGTGGCTGCAGCTGCACTGACTACACTACACTGACGTCATGAATTAGAACACGGTTCATCCCTAATCTCTGTTCCCAAAAAAGTGCTTTGAGATGTCAGTGGGGGAAAAGGTTCTCAGATATGACATACTTTGAACTTTATTACATGACAAAAGGGCCAATGCAGCCACTGGTTTATTCTTTATTTACGCATTTTATTTTCTAAGATAATCATATAGTTTTTGTTTATGTTCTTATGTTACTTTAAAAATGATCTGGTAACCACATCTGTGAAATACGTGTAGTGAAGTAAGAAATGCCCTCTCATTACATCTAAAATGTGGAGAGTCAAGGTAGCTAACAAAGGAAATAATCTAGAAAAGTACTTCAAAATTGTACATTAAATTACTTGGGTAAAAGCACTTGATGTAGAGATGTATTAATGTGGCCCTAAAATGATTGTTTATTTGTCCTTTTTTAGGAGTAAATGTTAAGTGTTCTACCTGTTTGTATCCGTGAAATTGGTGTTTTTATGTTTGAGGACTCTTGGAAGAATGACCTTCAAACATCCTTGTAAAAAATCCACTCAAACCAAGGACAAATGCTCTGTTTCGCAATATCCACAAAAGTTTTAAAATATATATTGTGTTTGTGCCTTGTGATTTGATTTTCTCTAAAAGTAATTTGTTTTTCCTTGGCCCAGGCAACATCCTTCCATTCCTGACAAAAAACCAAAGACAAACTACCCAGCCCCTGTTTAGCAAATTAATATCAAAGCAAGGAATGGTGCCTGCCAGTCGTCTGGCAATCACATCAATAGAGACATTTGGTCTACAATAGTCTAATGCAGGGGTCGGCAACCTTTTTGATATGAAGTGCCATTTAAAAAAATAATTGTTATCAGCGTGCCAACGATCGAGAATTATCAACGGGGGGGGTGGGGGTGGGGGGTTGAGGAGCTTGACGCTCGTCAACTATCAGCAGGAGGGCGGGGAAGCAGTGTGTGGACCTGTCAGCGCAACTCGCATGATGCCGAATTTAACATATACATTTAAATAATTGGTTTAAACGGCATAATAATAAGGACGATCGTCCGTTCTGTGATTCTCCAGAGCACACATGCTATGATATTAGGGTCATGCAGTGTGAGATGAGATCGCTGTCCCGAGAGAGAGAGGGGTGTGGCTTGTGCATGTGTGTGTGTGGATGGCAGAGCGAGAGTGAGGCAACGTGTGTATGTTTCTGGAAGTGAAACGAGGAAGCAGAAAAACAGAGGTCTGTGATGTATTTTGTGAAACAGAAGAACAGCTAAATAAATGCAACGGCCTCCCAAGAAGAGCTCGCCTCTCTCCAGTCATTTAAGCTAAAGTGGGTTATTGAACCTGAAGCTTGTTGCTTCTGCCCTCCTCGACTACGGTCTGGGAGCCGAAAGGAAAGTTCAACACACAGATGGCCAGTCCGCCCCTTTGTAGTATATTATGTCGATGAGAGATGAGCAGATCGCCACTGGGCTTTCAACTAAATACACAGCCACGCAAAAACTGCGGCATTTGTACAGCTCCTTATGGGTACTGCAATTTGTGAAGTGCTTTCCTCCGTGGTGAAACGATCAGCACTGCACCACGGAGGAAAGCGGCAGAAAGTCACCTGGAGTTAAAGAGAGCGGGGCTGCGTTGCGTGCATGGCTTCCTTCTGCAGGTAACGGGGAGACGCTCTGGCGGCGGTCTCGTTCAGGATCCGAAAATACAATTTAAATATTTAGCACACTTATTCCACTTATTCCTAGTGTGCCACTGGTTACGGTGCCGCGTG